CAATACTGATGTTCTAAATTTGAATGTTGCCCTATAGATGATTCACCCCCTATTTTTTCTAAATAGCCTGCAACCTGAAACATTTGAACCCCTGATGACAAGACCTTGAATGTTCGCCATTCTTCCTGYTGTACTTACAGATTTGTTTTCGCGCTAAATGAGTGTTGGTGGGTTTTGGACTTAGGCCTGCATCCTTTGAGGCTTCCGGGCTGTGAAAAACCTTGTTAGATAGACGATGGCTCCTTCTTGTGTTGATGCTGCTGTGAGAGCGGTGAGAAATCACAGTGGCAGTTGTGTCTCAGAGGTGTAACAGTAGATAAGGTAGTTAACAGTTCTCTCCCTCTAGATCYAGAGCTACCGTTTACTGTCATCTGTGCCACATTTTTAGAAACTCCCGAGGCTTGTTCGACACCAGCACATTACCACATAAGTGCTACACACATGCATGAACACTCACCCACACAGACTCCTGTATTTAACTTTTTAAAAATACCAGAACACATTGTYTGATTAAACATCTGTTGAGGTAGAACCCTGTGGAGTAAAACATAAAAATAAAGAGGAAAGTTAATGGTAAGGGGCTTCCAAGGGTAGGTGGGGTGTTTAGCTTACAGGAAAGTCACACAACACAATTAGCAAACATGGAATAATGAGCAATGCAAAAGAAAGTRCAGTTGATTTACCTAAAGTGAGAGTATTTAAAGCTCCAAAGGAGAGACAAATTAAACTAACATGGCCTCCATGGCGAGTGTTTATTAGACGGCACATTATAAATCATACACGATTATCTTTGTTCTGTGCAGCTGATGCTAACTGACGGGCACTTCTGTATCATAAGTAGCTCTCTGTGGTGGGAGCTGACTGTGAGAAAGCTGCTTTGGAAGATGAAGCAGGAAGCTGGGACGGTGAAATTGTAATTCCATACCCAGTGACAGGTTTTGTGAGGAGAGACGGCTGCTTTACACCAAACAAGACATGACACTTACTGTTCCATCCACCGGAGAATACAGCTGAACTACAGGGACGCTGGCGTTCATGTAAACTTTAATTACCTTTGAACCACACTTCCATTTCTAAACAGTCTTCTTGGGTAGAAATCAGACTKGTGAGTAGATATTTAAATTTTGCTTGTTAGAAATTTAGCTCAAATAAGCTACATTAAGATCTCCGGTATTAAATTTCATACAAATCCCAAAGTTATGTAAACACATGGCAAAATTGGTCTGGCCCAGTTTTGGCCCATGTGCGCTAACACTTGATGGCCCTTTGATGGTCCAGATGTGGTTTTCCAGAGGTATTCCATGAAAGGGGAAGCACCACACCAACCACAACTGGACCATTTGTGGCATCCCATCTTAAAACATGCCATCATTGCCAGATCTGGCCAACATCCTGTTGAAAAACTTGCCATTCCAGCAGTGAGCCAGCAATGCCAGCTCAACAGCAGGTCTGGCCCACACCTGTATGCTTTGTGGGCACTTGTTGTGCAGTATGCTACGTTGCTGAAGCATTAATCTATGGTCATACCAACCATCGTCTGTGCTTTCTTATTCTTTTTGCTAATGGTCTCAGTTGCTATACTCTAGCACAGTGGTTCCCAAACTTTTTATTTTCTGACCCACAAAATATCCATGGCAAAAACTTGTGACCCCAAATATTACTGGTCTGAGTACACAAACTTCGTTAATAACCCTAAAAACACAGGCGTTTTGACAATCTAAACAGTTTTCACACAAAAAATACTTGTTTGTACTTTTTTGTGTGTTTTTGTAATATTTATAGGGAAAATATTACATTAGCAATGATTTTATTACCCTTTAAATTGATTTCTGGAGATTGCCCAAGGTGCTTCATGACCCATAATTGGGTCCCAAGCCCAACTTTGGGAACCAAAGTGCAGTGGTTCCCAAACTTTTCAGCTTTTGACCCACAAAATAACAGWAGCAGAGACMTGTGACCCCAACTATTTTTGTATGATAAACATTTGTATCAGGTCAACTAAACATGGGCATAGTAACAATATTTTTATACTACAGTTATACATTTTAAATAAACTAAACTCACTCCTTTGTAAAAACTAAGGCAAAAATGTAATTAATTCAGAAAATCTTTTCAGGACCCCATCTTGATGTTTCAGGACCCCACTTTGGGTCCCGACCCCAACTTTGGGAAACACTGCTCTAGCATATCTCAGTATGGCAGAGGGTTTGTCTTCTGTTCTCATTTCCCCAGTAAAGTACAAAGCAACAACAGTAACTTGTACATCAGCGTTTACCAGATCCATATTTGACAAGTAAAAATGATTGGTCTTTTTATAGATACACATTATGAGACCAACATATATCCATCCAGTGCAAAAAAATTAGGCTAGTCTTGCATTATTATTTGGTCCTTGCTTCATCTCTTTTGGTATTATGTTGTGGATGTGAGGTTTATGTGACATTTCAGAAGTTATACGTTGATTTTACAAGTTATTTTAAAAGGACCAAGCAAACAGAGGCAACTTGGTGTTGCTGGAGAGCACGCTACGTATGTGTCTTAACATTTTCCATGCCATGCCATGGCCCCCCTAAATGGCATTTGCTTCTGGTCGGGGACCCTTTTGCAAAATCACAGTGCTACAAAATATGTCAAGAAACATCAAATTTTTGAATTTTTATTTATTTTATTGATCTTTATTTAACCAGGCAAGTCCCATTGAGATCAATGATCTCTTTTCCAAGGGATGCTTGTTTTTGATATGTGGGAGGAAACCAGAGTACCCGGAGAAAACCCATGCAAGCACGCCAAAAAATTAAAACTCTTTAATCGAACTCTAGTTTGTTTGTGTAGAAAATCCGGTTCGTTTGGAGAGGTATGAATGCGTAACTGAGCTCTGATGCAGACCATAAAAACGAATTCTGGTCTGCCTAAAAACCAGGTCTCAGTTTGGTTAAAGTGAACTCTGGTGYGGTTCGAATGTGAATGCCAAGCTGAGSACAGACTACAGCGCAGGACACTCTGTGTAATAACAGGATTAAAGGTATACCTCACTCAACATCTTTATAAGGTGGACATCAATGCTCTGAAGTTCTACTCAGTGTATGCCGCCTGACATGGAGCAGTCTCAGCTGCCTTGTGTGAAAACAACATTCTCCTTGGTTAKATCTCATGCTGAGCCCATTGTTGAAGAGTGTTTATTTTCTTCAGAGGTTTTCATGTCGTTTTCTGCAGTGGTTCTTGGCGCAGCGCTACCACAGGCRAGGTGGGGGAACAGGTTGTTCACAGGGTTCGGTTTGTTTGACTAAATGCGGTGTGAACGCGAACCGCACCAACAGAAAATGTAAACAAATGTTGCAACTTTGGTCCCCAATCGAGCCGTGTTTACCTGACAATCAGGTAGGGTTGGGCATAATCGTGTCGTGTGCAATTAATCGTCCAAAAAACATTAATCAATTATTTTTTGGCACTTAACGATATATACGGTTAATGCCACCAGGCAGACTGACTGGAGAGTTCTCCAGTCAGTCYGCTCGCTGCTCCTCTCCGCTTTAAATATGATGAACATTAAAAAAAGTTCTGTAACTTATTTATCTATCAACACAATTTAAAATATGATGTATAGGCTGAAGTCTGWAATTTTGACACAATTTGCAACAGATTTTTACAAAGAGCAAATCTTTCCCACTAAATTGGTCATGTGACTAGGACATAAGTGTGTCCAGGGACTYGAGGGGCTAAATCGTCAAATTAATCGTTATCAGCTTAATTGTGATTAATGTTTTTGCCAATATTGCCCAACCCTACTATCAGGTGTGAAAACCCCCTGAAATGGTTTTGTTGTAACTAAAATGCAAGTTGTGCCTGAAAAGAGAGAGACCCATACTGTCAAAACAAACACAACGCAGTAATGGGAAATGAGGTGGGGGTGGGGGGGGGGGGGGGGGG